AGGTCCAGCCCAGTATGTATTCCCTGAAAATGCCTAGCTGCTAAAGGTAGGCCAGGATCCCACAGTGACAGCTGGCCCCATGGTGGAAAACACTTTCCCTTTAGACAATAGCTCAATGGTTAAAACAGGCAGAAATGTGTGTGAGATCCAGGTTCAATTCCTTTCTCTGTCTAAAAGGACTCGAACCTCCTAAGTCTGCTTTGGTCAGCAGCAGCAAACTTTCTGGAACATAGGGAGAAGTCTCCAAAATTCATTTCACTTTCTAAAGAAGATATTCAGTAATGACTGTTGACTTTTAAGCCTTGCAGCTGTGATGCATTCATGAGAAAGAGTGGCTGTTTTTCTACTTTACAGAAAATAGATAAATGTTCAGCACTGTGTAAATACAGAAAGAGTCGTAAGAGTTGAGACTGGAACCCAGGATAATGTGCTTCTGTGAGTGCTTGCTTACGTTAGCCTGCTTGTACACAACAGAATGTCTTTGGAGATACACCAATCAAAGGCCAGGAAGGGAAAACAAAGAGGTTCAACTACAGGGTTCTCAATTCAGTTATGTGGGCCAGGAAGGGAAAACAAAATGTTGTTACACTTAGTAGTTCAGTACCTTGGCCTTTTCTACTTCTGTCCTAGTCTCAGCAATAAAGGTTTGTACAATACGGTAGAAACCTCTCTTCTCTCTCTTTCTCTCTGTCCGTGCTTGTAGTCAGTTATTAAAATGACCATTGGAAAAAAAGAAACATATTCTGAACCTCTGCTCTTCCTTTAGAAGTCAGAGTCAAAAATATTTGTGATGTCCCTGAAAACAGATTTGGGCTCTGAGGGTTAATGCAGAAATGAAACTTTGTGACGAGTTTCCCGTATAGTACCTGTTCTATCTAATGCTCAAGTGTTTCTGCTGTGATTTGCCAAACCTCTTCTTTCTGCGAAGTCAATACCTATCTCAACGTTTTAAAACAGATTAATTAAAAGGAATTTTGTAGTGATTTTAAATTTAAATCCTCTGAGACATGTTCTGTTAAGTGGCTGAGAGAACTGCTAAAATGAGAACAAGAAAAGTAAATAGGCTTTTCTTTCCACACTATTTGCTTTTATCTTTTCATGGATTTGTTTAGCAAAAATTTTTGTAACACCTTATGCATATGATTAGATATGATTATCCTATGATTGAATCATCATGGAATAAAACTGTAAAGAGAAAGTATTCCGTTTTGTATGAACACTGCTATAGAGAAGTATAAGTTGTGAGGATGCAAACAGACTTTGATCACTACTGTCATATAAACAGTAATGTGACTGGAAGATAACCATCATACTAACTACATTTCAAATAGATAACTGTTAGCTGTTAATGGGAAAAAGAAGTTTTTTGGTAACTATGAAAAAGAAAACCTCTCATTCTAAGTCACCACTCTGCTTAGACTTGAGACTGTTAGTGGTTTTATGGACACTAACAAATTGCCTGCTTTTGTGCTGCAGTGTAGTGAAATCCATGAAACAGATTGAGCCCCCTTGAACTGGGCCTCTGGAAAAAAAAAGCTCTTCCATATTTTAAAGTGGCTTTTTAGGCCTCCTGAGTCTTTCTGGCACATCATTCTCAGACCCTTATGGATTGGGTTGCTGCCAAAAAGCTCTTTTCCCACAAAACTTCAGTAAACTTTGAGTGCTAGACACTGGAGTAGTGCATTTCCCAAAGAGAAATACAGTATTTCAAAATACCTACAGTGTAGGAATTAGCCTCTGAATGAACTCAACAGTATTTTTCCTCAGTATTCTTGCAAATACAAAAATTCAATCTATATCTTACACTGATTTAGCACTTTGTTTCTGTTGAAGTAATGATTTTGTTTTACTAGCAGTGTGATCTTTTTATGAATTGGATATGTTTGTTCTTATGTAAGTGTACTTTGATTTTACTAGGCATTAAACCATACTTACATTTAATTGCAAACATATCAAAATATTTCTTAACTGCAAAATATTTCAACTCAAATAATCCAGAGGAAGAAATATGCTAGAGAAGCCAAATCTGGCTTAGTTACCAGGGCTAGATAAAGTGAGTACAAACAAGTTTGTAGCATTTCTTTGGACAGTTGTCTGGTCTCTCAGACCTTGTCAAATTTTAGCATTTTATAGCTTCTGTTAAACACACAAAAAAATGCCATTGAAAATGAAATTTTGTATATAATGTTTTTTTGCTGTCCTACACTGTCCCCTCACTCTTGTGCTAGGAGTTTGCTGTAAGCTAATTTCATGTTCCAGGAAGGACTATGTTTTCTTTTCTGTGAATGCTTGAAGTACTTGAAAGTTAGAGTAACAGAGAATGAAAATTTCTTGTGATTTACTTTGAAGGAACTCTATTAGAGGTGGCCAGGGAAGAACTTTAAGAAAAAGGTTCAAATTGGCCACTGCAAACTCTCAGTGTGCCACATCTGGTATTGCATAGTCCTGGGGCAGGAATACTGAACTTTAATGTTTTAATTTGCTTGTAGAATATTCATACATGAGCAGAGGCCAGGGGACCATTACCATAACAGGCTCGATCCTGCTGTGTGAGCCAGCACTCCCAGGTGCATCCCTGCAGCTCCAGGCGACTTGGCTGGGTATTGCTTTCGCATAAATGAAAATAGAGTTTTGAGTAAATGAAAATAGAGTTTTGAGTCAAATGGTTAACTCAGTTCTGAGAGATACTCTGGCAGTATCTGAATGAAGAAACTGGCTCACCTAGATACCCAGTCCTACCCTGCTAACTCAGGCAAAGCTTCCACTGACTTCCAAGAAGCTGGTTTAGTTCCTCTCCAAGGGTGAGTTGTGTCAGAGTAAATAGAATTATATACTTTCCTTGCAATCCCCGATTTTTATTTGTCTGATTCTGAAAAAAATTATTTTGTAGTCAAAAAGTCCCATGCTTTGTCCTCTTCAAGCTGATTTATTTTGGGAAACTCAAAGGAAAACTTACTAAACTTAGGTTAGAGACTTTCATGCTACCTTATACTGATGATTTTCCAGGTCATTGTAGCTCGACCTGCTTTGGAGTTCCACCAGGCAGTGAATGGTGTGTCCCTGAAACATCATGCTACTTTTAAGCATCTGCTTCTAACTATCTGGGCAAAAATATTTCAGGCAAAAGCCTGATAGGATTTGTACATTGGTTTTGGGAAAGGCATGAATATCATGATTATTTTCTTTTTAAGAAAACGTATCTTTAGAGAGTAAGAAAGACAATCAGCATGAAAAATTTCAACCAGGCAGTTATTGTGAAAGTCACAATCAATGTAAAGCCGGGTCTTGTAATAAGCTAGTGAGCAACATCAATAACAAGCAGCAAAAGCAGCCACACCTATGAGGCTCTTAATGATATCTCAGCGGAGTGTTTTAGACATCTGCCCAAGTGTTCTGAGATTGAAGGCAGAGCTCGAATAGTTTTGTAGCTTCTTTCAGTATGGCCTTGGCCAGCCTGAGTAGAAAGCTATGGAAGGGCAGTGCTGCTATGGTGGAAGGAGCCTTGCTGTGGAAGGACGGCTGGCAGGTACGTTTCAGGGTGAAATATGGTGACCCTGGAACATTTCTGGTAGAACTAGTTTGCAGAAATGTACTGGCATTCAAAGAGATGAGTCATGCAGATCTTACGCTTTATTCTCTCTCTCCTAACAACTTCCTATGGTGTTGGTAAGTATACGTGCTGTAATGCAAAGACCCATATTAATAATGAACTTTGTCAGAGACTTCTCATTAAGAGCACTGAATAGGAATACCACAGTGTCTGATATCAACTGTTCAAAAGGAAAGGAAGTCTAGGTGACCAGCAGGAACCGGCAGGGAAAGGAATGGCTAATCACTTTTCTACATTTCTAATGGATCACCTATCTCTGTAAAACTGAACATATGTATTATTAATTTATTGTCATTTACTGATCTCATGCCAAGGCAGGGTATGATTATCATTAATTATCTAGGTATCATTTTAGGCTTTACTATGGACACTTTATAGAAGTTTAGTTATTTAAATGGTGCATGAAAGTTCTTCCAGCACAATATTAAAGCAGAATCACTCTGCATTTCAAAATTAAGGAGTATGTCCTGTAAATCACTGCTCAGATGGTCTCATCAATTGCCTTGATAGGTAGGTTCAAAATTTTTATGCTGCAGCTTTTCCCTCACCTTTAAGACTGTGTCTGCTAAGTGGTAGAGCAGGACATGGAAGTATAAATACATATCCTGCTGTCACAGAGCGGTGCTCTGCCAGAGCCTGGCAGAATCTAGCTGGTTGAAACAGGGCTGAAAACTACCCAGGGTGATTTAAGGCTTGGTCCATGCATGTGATGCATGTGCTAATAAACTAGTTATAAAACCTCCATTTCAAACAGGAAGGGAGTGTATCAACTAGAAATCAGCAATATCAAAGCCTGGGCCAAGAGGAAGGTTAATGTATTCTCTTGCAAAGATCTGTTTCATCTGAGGAGATGAGAGTTTGTCATCAAAACATAAGCTATTCTGCAGCTCTTTGCTCAGGAAATGTAACAGTAAATGCTCTTGCAATTTTTGTTACAATTTAATTTTTCTATTTTAGTACTGTTTAATTTGAATGTAAAGTATGTTTCCAAAAATCTACAAAATATATTAGAACAGCTAAATATATAGTTTGCTACAGAAGATGCATTTTCTGCAAGTGTTTAGTATGTGTAATAGGGAAACTGAATGTGGATATCAGAAGAATTGAAAGGGTTTTCACTTTGACTCAGCAGAGTAACCCCCCACCAAGATACCTTTCTCTTGTATATATCAAGCAGTTCAAGAACACAGCACGTTGCAGTAATAAACATTGATTCTGTTTTTATTCTGGTATAGAATTGCTATATTTTTGAGAAATATTTGCTCACAGTTATATGTCCACATTTATTTCAGTGTTGTGGAGGATAGTTTCAATAAAACTGATCTTCATGATTGCAGTAGGCATGCCAGTGGTACCTGATTTTAAGATTGCCCCAACTAACTGTATACATCTCCAGCTTCTGCCTCGAGAGTAGAAAAGGACACATCCAAAGATGTGCATTGACATAGTTTATCCTATTGGTATCTGTGGGGTAACATGTAAAGTAAAAGCTACACCTTGGAATAAAATTTGCATGAACAGGACAATGTACTGGGTTTTAAGAATATGAATGTACTATGAGGATTGATCCCAGTAAGTAGACAGGCTTCCTGTCTTCCTGTTCTATGCAATTTTTATAAACTTTTTATGTATCTTTCTTCACCCTGATTTTGAAGATAATTTCCTTTATTCGATCTTTAAAAGGGTGGTAAGTGTAAGTTAGGAATACTTTGCTAAGACCAACTTTGCACAACCGATTGTCTTGAAGGAAGTTTGTAAGCTGGTTAACAAGTGACCTGAGCATGTCTCCTACTGAAAATGCATCTTGTGTCCCTGGGACATTTGAGCAGAAATCCGTTTATAAAAATGCAGCAGAATTAGAATTTGTACCATGCCTTCTTGCAGATCGTATCCGGTAATGTTTCACAGAATGGAGTAATACAGTAGCAAAATGCTGGTAAATATGTAAATGATGAGAAAGATACACCAAAAAGGCATGTAATTCCACAAGCAATAGAACTTATGAATATACTGGTTTTCAAGAATTTGTGTGTCGTGGTTTGATTCTCAGATATCTTAAAAGTAACAACTTCTGATCAAAGCCTTTCCTGCAGCTATTATGTAGGTTAACTTCTCTCTGTCATGTGAATTTGCCGAGTACATATGAAATGCATTGTGTAGAGCAATATTCTGTGTAGAGCGCTATTAGGATCTTGTTCATCCATCCACCAGTTTCATGAAACTCACTGGAACTTCATAATGATGAGAACTCTAGTCTGTAAAGTGTATTGGAAATTGCCAAGGAGAGTCAATAGTTATTTCTGAGAGTCTGAGGGACAGACAGGTATGCACGTGAAACTGACTTCCTTAAAAAAATAAAACATATGCAGACTTGAGGGTTGTATAAGTCTCATTGTAAGGAACTAAACTAGGAGCTATCAGGTAAGATTTATGATGAATTACTGCATAGGTGGGTTTTGTTTGTTTGTTTGTTTGTTTTCTCAAGGCAAAGGAGCTAGTTAGGTTGAGTCTGAAGCATGAAGAGTTCCATGTGTAAATAAGTACATACAAACATAAATATAATGAAAGCCTATGTATACTCTATCTGTGAAACAAAGATAAAATAAACCAAAGAGGAAATATTTAGTGAGATGATTTGAAATAGGTTACAAATTAAAATGAAGAATAATTACTGGATTCTAAAATGGAAGAAATGCCTGGAAAATGTATGCATTTGAGATGTACAGCTGAGAGATGGATCTTCTAAGATTCCATACAGAAGAAACTTACAGATAGCAGAGATCCTGTCAGCTGAAGAAAAAGCTAGACTTTGTTCTGTTGAGGGGAAAACAACAGCAGATGTGAAGCATCTATAAAAAGGGAGGAGGAAGGATGTGTACTTATTGTGGAAAGCTGTTCTCATATAAAAGAGAAAGCAGTTTCCGTGCTTTTCTATTTCTGCTGAGAAAGCAGCAGAGCAAAATCCCAAATAAACCTCCATTGCTTCTGATGAACAAAAAAAATGTGAGAGCACCTTTCTGTAGAAACTGGCAGAAAAAAGAAAAGGCTAAAATTAAGTGTCATAGTTCCATTTCAGAATCATGGAAGGATTTTGTTGGAACTTCTGGAAAGATCTTTCAAAATTGAGGAGAGTTAAAAAACTAGGAGCAGTATTTACCATAACCAATGCAAGAGGCAATAGTAGGAGAGAATTAAGTTTGTACTTCAATAAATTTTACAGAGACATCAATTCCTGCTTACCAGAGCTGTCACACCATAAGAGCCCTTTTCTTTAGGATGACTTGTGGGAGCAGCCGCCCCAAGGGCAATGCAGCACAAAGTTGAAGGCCTCTTCCTCACTGCGTTTTCAGCTAGCTCTGTCCTTCTCCTGGCTGGAGGCGATGGGCTGAAGACCACTAATTAACTTTTGTATGCTTCAGTCCTTGGAAGTAAGCTTCTGAACGAGCTTTCTAAAGTTTTATTTAAAAAAAAAAAAACTTGCATGTGTTAGATACTTTATCCTTTTTTTTTTTCCTCTAATTAAAGGATATGGGTTGTGTGTTTTACAATACTGTCAGTGAGGTCAGTTAGCCCTTGGGAAGAAGGAACATGTGTTTTCCAGATAGACCGAACTGGCTTAAGTCTACTTAATGTGTGTGCAAAGAGAAGAGCAAAGAGCATAATGCTTTTTTCTTTTTTTTTTTCTTTTTTTTTTCTTTTTTCTTTTCCTTACATTGAAACAATGAAGTGGCAATTTACCACAATCCATTCCTCATGTCTTTTTTTCCATTGGCCTTTTTCATCCTCTCAACACATTCTGTCACAGCAACAGTGAAAATGTAAAGCTGTAAAGAGACCCACTAAACCAGCCTTCTCAGGAGAAAGCATTTACTGATTTTCTGTGGTTTTTGATACAACTTGAGGATGAAAAGCTCTGAATAAAATTTAGCCAAATATCATTCAATAACATGCTCGTGAGCACTATTACGCAGCACCATCAGAAGACTGTATTTAGGCTTATAGCATATAATCATAAATATGTATGTATTTATACATGCGTATATGCCATAGAGACAAAAGCACACAAAAATGCATAAACTAAAGAATTGTTTTTTAATATATGTTAGAATATTTCTGTGTATGTAAACATTTGGAAAACTTGTGCAGCAGAAGTCACTGTAGGCACTGGTATTATAACTCAAATTCATGTCATTTTAGTTACAGCTTCTCAACCGTGCACAACAGATGCTATAATTCTCCATGCAAATTTATGTAGGAGGCATATTATACGTTACACCGCACTATTTAATTCAATTATTTAATAAAAGGCTACCTATTACTTTTTTTGTAGCCAGACACTGAATCTCTTGCCATTTCATTTCTATCATGAATGGAAATGAAAACTACATCTCCTGTTTACATGTATGCAAGCATTTTTTTTCTACATATTATTGATAGCATTTGTATGATTAATAATTCTAGTAAATTATAAAAAAATCCCATTTAAGTGTTTAACTTTTGTGAGAGTAGAACAAAAAGCTCTGCAAGCATAAGGTACAAGATGCCCTTATGCACATACAACTGTTATGGACTTCAATATAGTCATAGTTCCCCTATGACTATAACCTTCTGTGCATTTAAATAGTGTACTATGATAGTAATCACATTCTTAAAACTCTTTGGACTGCTTTAATAATGTTTCACTGTATTCCACTGGCCCTCATTTCAATTTATATTTAAGGCAGCTATAGTCTAAATAAATCAATAGGTACATACAGTTTTAAGAATTATCATGGTGGTGGATGAAAAACATGGTAAGATGCCCCTCTATGGACATTTTTCATTCTTTTTGCTGCTCTAGAACACATTTACTTCATAGAGAACATCCAAATAAATATGTGTTATAAATGTGTTATTAATACATTGGTTTTGGCATTAACCTGTGTTTAAGTGCCAAATGTTGGTGCCATTTTAAATGGTCTTTTCCTATTTTTGAGTACTGAAGTGCTACAGATGTGAACTGCCCAGCTAATGTCCTGACTCATAATAAGAAAGTAAAATACTGGTGTGAGCCATCACATTTTCAAACCTGAATTTGAAAAAAAAAAACAAAACAAAACCAACAACGACAAAACAAGAGCAGCATGCAAAACATCCTGGTGTAGGCAATATATCCAGCACAAATAAAAGAGAAATATGCAGAGATAAAATATGCAGTCATAGACATATTCCATATTGATACCTTCTGAAAAATTCCATGGCGATTAATTCTAGGTGGCAATTGGGTAAAAAAGTATGTACCAGTCAGAGATACAAGGCAGTTCCTGCTTGGTTCAGAAGAGCAAACCACATGTGTGGTTCAAGTCAGTTTTTTTTTGGTTTTATAAACATACTGATACAATTTTCAGAGACAGAATTACCATCCAGAGGATCTCAGTTCACAGAACATCACATTTATAGACAACCTACCGCACCTCTGAATTATATACAAGGTGCACACTTCTGAATTGGTGGTGGTGTAAGAAACACGCACAGGGCTGCCTGCTGAAATAGCTTTCTTGTGACTTCGTTTTCCTCTTTCATTCTGAAGTAGTGCCAGAGTCCTTAATTTTCAGTTTATGCTGTCTTTATGGCTGCTGCGATCTGTATTGTGATTTAGTTCTTGATTTTTCCACTGGATGCTCGTTCCATTCATGGGCAGTGAAGTCACTAGACTTTTAGACTGGGAGCAGCAACAGCAAAGACATGACTGGAAATTAATAAAAGACAAAATTGATTAGCATGAATCTGCTGGCTCTATGCAGTTTGCCAACCATATCCTTTGCGAACAGATTATTTTAGGTGAAGGGAAAGTGCCACACTCCAAAAAAATTTTTGTCATAAAATGTAAACAATTCTTCTGACGAACTATCAAAAGATAGCAAATTAGGTCTGTTTAGTTTAAGAACTTTTGCAGCATTAAAAGGGAAAACTGTTTGTCTAAGGTAAGCAGTAACTAACAGAACTCCACATGTTTTCTAAGAGCTGGAGAAGGATCCTCTCACTGCACCTAGAGCACCTAGAGATCAGTAGCAGCTGCTTAGCAAGTATGGGAACAATGAAAATTCCTCAGCAAATAATTTAGGACCCTTCCAACATCTTGAAAGAAGACAAAATTGTTTAGAGAAAGAGATGGTGAGTATATTGAGGCGCATCATTTTTTCATAGCTAAGAACAGAATAGGTCAGAATCATACTCCTAGGTCCTTTGCAGGTAGGGATGTTCATCTGACTCCTCTTTCCAGAAATAATTCTTTGGCCATCCTCCCTACCTTTACAGAGAGCAATGCTGAGCTCCAAGCAGGATCTCTCCACCTTATTTAGAGCAAAGAGAGTGCTGCTGTCAGAGGAGCACTGGCAGTAACAGCAGCTGATCAATGACTCCCTTGAACTCAGTGAGAAGGGAGTGTTGCAGAGAGGTAAGGCCAGACTTAAAATATGTGCTGCATATCTGTGGTGGAAATGTAAAACTACTAGGTTAGTACAGAGGTAGGGTGGGAAATTCAATCATAAAATGGAAAGATGGGCTGAAATAATCACACTGAGAAGGGAAAAAAGTTATAGTGAAAACTGGAAATTAAATAGTAACTAGAATTTATTTAATTAGAGTTGTTGGATGGCAATTTTATTTGGAAGGGCAAATATAAAGAGTTAATGATATGAGGAGCATCTGGTAGTACCATTGCTTCTCCCTTGAGGACAAATCCAGGCATAGTATTTTGTCCACAGTTTCCCACTGAAGTGTGGGACTGTCAATATCCATCTCTGAGGACGACAAAACAGACTTCTTATTCTCTTGTGGAAATAGCCTCTTAAAAATAGTTTATAAGTCTGAGTGGGCTACAGAAAAACAAGCATTCTCTACTTTAATCAATTATTATATTTTTCAAAAACTCATGTCACCTATTCATAGCCTGAAAGTCTTTTGCTAATTTTTTTTTCTTTTCTTTGCAGATAAAACTATTTCAGTCTTCCATTTCACCACTGTCTTCTCCACTATTTGCTCTTATTTTCCACTTATTTTCTTTCTTCCTGTGTTGTCTGTTGGTGAACGGTGGCTTGCCTAGACATTATGATAAGGAAATTTAGCCTTGAAATATGTTTTCCTGGATAGGAACTAGAAAAATGCGAGTAAAAGACATAGTGCTTATTTAATTGCCAGAGTCAACTGAGGTGCCTAACTTTGGTATTCAGGCTTGAAAATTTTAGTCAGGATGTGATCGTTTAACTGCAGGCAGATTTGGTATGTTCTGTGCATGATTTTTGTCCTCACTCAGAGTGGGAAATACGTTATCAAACAAATTCTGCTTCATGTACATGCCATGTGCAGATAAACAGTACTTAACAAGAGCATGACTATCTCAGTGCTTGTTTACAGATGAGGACTATGTCAAACTTATTTACTGGTTACTGGCATTTCAGATAATGAGGATGATTTCAGCTCCCGGTTTGGTATGTGTGCTATGTGACCCGCCAGCTGGTGAACTCGATATTTTGTAACCCTTCATTCCTTTACATGTCTCACCTCACAGCTGATGAAAATAGATAGTAAATAAATGGCTTAATGCACTTCATCAATTAGATATAAAATCTCCTCAATAGTATCTTACCTGAAAGCAGTTTTTAAACTTCTTGCTCACAAAATAGAGAGCTATTGGGTTTATACAAGAGTTCATGGTTGCCAGGTTGATGCTGATATAGTCCAGTGGCAGCAAGAAACTAGGCAACAAAAGGAAAAACATTTAAACTCTTTATATACTGTCACAGCGTCTGTGCTATTTTTGTTTGCAGTCTCTGTCCTAGGTTCTGTCACAGAAATGATTCCCTATCAACTACTAGCTCCTTCAATTTCATCTTTTACCATGCCATATCTGGAATAACCTGTCTCACAGAAATTCACAAAAGCAAGAGGAAAGTGCCTGCAATAGCACTAGACAACATTTATTGTACTTTTTGTAACCCATTACAGCAGAAATCCCTGAAAACAGAAGGATGTGAAAAAAAAATCAGAAAATAAGAATCAGTTCTTCTGACATGTGCTACATGCATAATGACATTTCTTATGTAATCTCCAATGTGCTGCATTATATTTATATTATACTTGATTAATATAAGAAAATAGGGTACCTGAGTAGTTCACACCTGCCAGGGTCTCTTTCGTTGTATACCATTTTTTTCAAAATTCGGCTCAAATGGAGAGGGAACCAGCAAAGAGCAAAAATCACTACCAGGCAGAAAACTGTCTTTGCAACTTCTCGACGCTAGAAAAAGAAGCAAAGATAACGATTACTGATGGCCTAGTTCATATTGATAGGTGCCTACGGTGCAGTGATGTTGACAGCAAAGTAAGCAAACTAGACAGGCTGGCAAGGATTCCCAGAGCACAACTGCTAGGCTACCTGCTCTCTGTGAAACCTCTTTTATTGAGCTGGTTCTTGAAATGTAGCCATCCTTAACAGAGCCTACTGATCACTTAGACTAGAGCACCTAGAGCACATGGGTGATGGCCGTCACTGAGCTGTCACCTAAGGAAGAATCCATTGCTACATTTTCCTGAGCCTGACTCCATTCCCAGTCATCCCTGTTACTCTGCAGCTCAAGCTTTTCTGGCAAACCCTGGCAATTTGTTAAGTTGTGGCATAAATGCATCCTCCCATAACCAGTCCAAGTAACGCTCTGGGTGCTTTATGTTGTGCCTCCCCCCACCATCCTAGTGCTACCAGGGGGAGCAGATTATGTGGAGTGCTGGGAGAAGCTGCTGAGGGAAGGGAATGGAGGGTCTGCATGACAGGAGTGTCTCTGGTCTGCGCAGACCGCAGTGGGCCTGCAGAGGCAGGACCCGTGAGAGAGGGCACCGCTTTAGGGATCCACGGTTCTAAATCAAAGGGGTGGGATTTGATGGGCTGAAGTTAACATTGTATCCTATTGTCTGGCTAACTGCAGGAAAAAAAAGAAAAAAAGGTACAAATTACTTTTAAAATTTCAGTTAGGAATGAAGCGTCAGAAAGTGCAAGAACACCAAAAGTGCAAGAACACCAAAGTGAAGATTTGGCAATTTTGTGAGCGATTTTGCTCTATGGTTACTTGTTTGTCCAAGCCTCCAAATGTTCTTTCCTATAGACAGTACAGTTATTATAGGTGTACTGCAACAATGAAACAAGCTTTAAAAATCCAACTTATTCTAAAACTGGGTTACTCTACAATTGTGGGGTTTTTCTTTGTTTGTTTACTTGTTTTTTTTTTTTTTCAGGAAACAAAAGTCATGCATCGAAATATGCCAAAAATAGGGAGACCCCATGGAGTTGTATCTTTATGAATAAAAAGTCAAGGGTGTTTGTTTTTGGCAATTCTTTGTCACTAAATTCCAAGATATATAGCCAGCAATGATTTAGGGTTAAAGAGCAGAACTGTCACACTTAAGAAAGAGATAAACTCTGGTGATTTTCCAGAGCGTACTGTCTTCAATATATCCTTATTGTCTTCAATATATTCTTATAATAAGATCTCGTATGTTCTGGGCTTGACTGAATATCTTAGGGTCATAAATAACCTATAACCTCACCCTCTATTTTTACAAGTTATTGTATTCAGATACATTTTTAAACATTTCCAAGCTAACCCAAAGAGAGAAGAATAGTGTTCTTAATATTTACCTGCTTAAGATGTTCACTGAGAGCAATTCTCAAATTACTGTTCCTTCTGTTTAACATTTCACAAGTCATTAATGTGTAAAAGATAGCAGTACATGCCAGTGGCATGCAGAAATAGAAACCAAATAGCCACCAATCCTTTGCGTCTTTGTAAAACTGCAGATAAGGGAAAGAAAAGAGAAAATATTTTCTTAAAATTCAAAGAAAGTAACACAGAAATGTAACAGAAAGTGTAGCAATTGGTATGGTTCTTTTAGCGTCCAAGTCTATTGGTAAACAGTACTGAACTATGTCAACTTTCTTATCGTTCTGATCTATTTCAGACCATCATCAAAGGGGGAACTGTGGCAGTGTAAGCGCTGAGTTTACCTTACCAGTAGCCAGCCTGTACCTTTGTTACAGTCTGTTTTGAGTTGGAATTAATTACTTGTGACTGTGGTTTCTGGACTTGTATTCTGATTTATGAAAACTGGAGCTCAGTTTTCACAAAAACTACATGCCCAAATGTAGGCAGTGTCAGTTTGCGATAACAAATCTCGCTAAAAGCCTCGGGAAATGCCATTTACCTCTATGGGTCCTGTCCTGATTCCAAAAAAGGAAGGTTCAAAATGTCTTGCAAGCTTAATCACCTTGTGTTATCAGTGAAAAGATTGCTATTTGGTTTGCTTATGTTGTAGGCAGATAGAGGCCACTTCATAAGTATTTGTCCGTTACATGCAAAACTGAGGGTCAGTGGCATCCAATGTTATAGTTACTTTTAACACTTTGCCTGCTATTTATACCATATGACTTTTGTGACTGGGCACATTTCTCTGTAGTAGCATTACTCTGCTGTGTAATTTTAACTCTTAATTGTGGTTTAAGGCTTTATGTATATAATATACATATACTATATACTATAATATATTTGATAAAATATTAAAAATTGTACTTTTCTGTGGGTAATTTTATTTAAAGACTTGACAAAATACTGTATTTTAGTATTTAACTTTTATGCTCAGCCAAAACTGTGCATTTAAGTATGACATTTTAAATGCTTCCTGTCTCTATGTTATTAGTCACTGAGATGGATACATGCAAAAGGGAAACTTCTTTCTCATAATCTTTCCTTCAGTTTGTTTATCCCTGGTGGATGTGCTACTGTAACATCACAGTTCCCACACCAAATGTCAAAATGCTAATAACTGAGGATTATGTGCATCCCTTTTGAAAATATCGGATATCTGACATCTTGTTTACATTTAAAACTGCATAGTGCTAAACTTTGGAAAGTGAAAATGAACCTAATTTAATGGACTAGTATCTAACAATGTTTTTTTAAAATTTGCTTTAGTTATGTTCAAAAGTTGAGTTACTGAGAAAAGGGAAATATTTTTGGTTTCTATCCCCTCCCACCCCAGAAGGGAGAGTAAGTTGCTACTGAGTTTGCTAATTTAGCATGCCCTACATGCCCTGCTGGTATCTAGGCCACAACCCCACCACAAAGGACATTTTGCACTGCGATGATTAACTTGTTTTCTTCCCATCATTAGTCTCATCCCCGGGAAAGGAGGGGCTGCAATCCACTGCATAGCTGCACTCTCCTTGGGGGCTGGATTTCCCCCCTGGGAAAGCAGCTTCTGCCAGGAGAAAACCAGAAACCAGTATGTTCCATATTTTAAGAGTCTGTACTGAGGAGATATCTAATTAGCACTCTTTCTGCAGCGACAAGGACTGCAAATACATGGAGACAATTATTTTCTTTCTGTGGAAATTCCTTCAGGTCAGACCAGAAGCACATTGGCTGGGCAGCATAGCAAAATGTGTGCTGGGTGAATCCATGCTGTATTTGTGAGGCAAACTGTTTGTTCTGCTCGCCTAACAGCCTTCGTGAGCATGGCCTGCCAGTCACAGAGCACGCACAGCCAGGTCTGTGCATCAGCTCTGACCTGTGCATTTATGCTGTACAAAGACCTGGCTTTGTGCAGATACAGAACCAGTGTGAAAATGCCTGCAAATGATTAATTATGGAAGCTGAGCTTCACAAAACTTACATCAAAGCACAAAATGGGGTTGATTTAAGAGGAATAGACGTTCTTTTGTTTGTCTTGAAAGTCCACATGGAACTGGTTTTCTACAGGAAATGTGCATTTTAAACAAGTTTCCTAGTGCACTCAGCCTCTTGGGAATCATGGTCAAGCATGAATCTTTCAAGTCTTTCAAGGATTGCTTTAAACATGAATAAAGCTCCTCTTAAAAACAAAAGTTAATCTTAATTCCTTCCCAAAGTTTAATGATTGTTTATTGTGGTGTTTGTGGTAGTAAATATGATAGTTAAGTTAAAATGGTATTTCCATTTTAGTATCATGTTTTTACTTGCTTGCGACTCTTGAAACACTATCATTTTGACAGATGCTTCCAACACTTAATTCTCAGCTTGAAAGTAAATGCTGATTTATTTCCTGGAGAATCAACTTGGGGTTGGGGGACTTGGAGCTTTTGAATTGTGCCAAGCATGTAAAGGATACTAATTACACTAAGAGCAAAAGAAAAAAAGAAGAATTTCTTCTGCTTACTGAGTGAAGAACAGAACTATAATAATTAATATTAACATGACCACAAAAGACTTGAACTTTGATGTTTTTGTGAATAGTGAGGAGAAAACCATTCTTAGGGAGAGAAGAACTGAAGATTGTCCAGACATGATTGTGGGAAAAAAGCAGCCCTTATAAAAGCAAAAAGCCTAGGTTTGTTGCAGTATACACTTCATAAAATGCATTCCTGTTCTTAAAATATCCACAGCCATCGAACCTATAAACTTTAGGTATTTTAAGTCCTGGGCAACTCTACTCCCTCTTCACCTACATGATTTATTTCCATGAGAGAATGGCTTTCGTTTTCTCTTGTTTATGTCTTGCTGTTTCTGCCTTCTCTGCAGTCTACATAACCATATTGCCATTGGGGATCTTCCACTGAAAGCCATAAATCATACACCCCCTTTATTTTCTAAATTTTCTGGCTGTTTTGTGCCTTCTCCTCCCCAGTTCTAGCCCACACCATGTTCTCATCCCATAAAAGGAGAAGTGTCAGACATTTGAAAACAAACAAAAACTTGTACTTTATCGTAAAAAATTATAGCTCCAGAAAAAATGTGGAATTAACCTTGCATTATCTGCCTTCTCTCAGACAGAGCAGAACAATAATCATTTTTTATTGCCGGATGAGCTGTAGCTGACCCTTCTTTGTGTCCACAAAGGAAAATGTAAAATTTTTCCATTTTATCGGTGGAGGGTCAGGCTATCCCTCTGTGTAGTAAAGATATGTTAACTCTGGAGTGGCTTTTGCCTGACTTGCCTTGAACAAGCTAATGTGAGCCTTGACACCTGTTATACCACAGTAGCATTGTGGACAGGGACTATGGAACTTGCCAAAGAAGCCCGATACCTGCTCAGGTACTTCTCTTGCTCTGCAATTTGTGTTGCTATGTCTAGGTGACAGCTATCAGTGACCAACTTTCCTAGGTTAAAGATGGGAACCTGTCAAACTGGGAGACATGAATCTTATAAATGAAGGGATTATTGTGCTTGACTTGGTAAATGGCTTTCGGAAGAGTTCTGTTAGAGCGCGGTCCCTCCCTTTTCTTTCTCTGCCAGAAGCGCTGGCTGCTGCACACAGTGCGATGACTCATCGCAGTAAAACACATTTCCCAGCAGTTACAAGCTCCAAGGTGTTATACCTGGAAGCACAATTCCTCCGAAAGCTCTGCCTACACTGGTGCTATTCTTCACTGTACTTTAATCAGGTCTGGATTAAGAATTCTCGCTATTGAAGGAATGAAATTGTTGTAAAGTCACATTTGCTATCTCTGAAGGAAACCAGAGACTAACCACTGTGAATGAAAGATCCTCCTTGCACCAATATACGTTGGAACACATTTTACACTTTAATGGATGAATAAAGCATATTTATTATACTGCCGATCCCAAAAAGAGAAAAAACGATGCTACTTACCAGCATAAAATTATTTGTAGGATTGAGCATGCAGGTAACATAATTTTCATCCTTGTATTTGAAAGGTACCACAGCAAAGCCAATTGCTTCCGGAATAGCCAGTATAAAGGACAGAAGCCAAATGGAGAAAATTTCAATAGCAGTGATCATAGGGATGCCGATTCCTTGAACACGGCTCCAGGAGGCAACTGCTCTGTACCTGCAAGAGACAGACATTAGATTACAATCTCCAGGATCTTCCTTAAACCCAGAGCTCTTGCTCTACTTTTAAATATTAAATAAAATCTGAAAGCTGCCATCCCAGCTGTTTTTTTTTAAAAAAATCTTGTATAGCTTGTTTTTGTATACACTAACAATTTCCAGTTAAAGTAGGCAAGGTTTGTGAGGTCAGGCAGTATCTTTCAGTAGATCAACTTATGTATTAGAAGAAAAAAAAAAAAAAGTTTTCAGGCCCAAAAGCCATTCTACAGATCTGAAACAGCTCATCTTCTTCAGCCACATCAGTAATAACTGCAGTGCTATCCAAAGTGAAGTCATCTGCTTGCATACAATGAAATACTATGAAAGCACTCTTCATAACCTGAAAACGCACTGGTTTATGTTTAAATGTTAAAAAATATTGGATTTATGAGACATTTTTATATTAAACTTAGACTACAGCTAAGTGTTATGACTGTCTGGCTGCCAATTCAAGTCTTAGACACTGCATCTTTCCAGTAAGAACCTGAAGAGCCCAGCTAAAGAAAGACTGTACGTGCCAGAAACAGTGCATTTTTCCCTTGACTTCCCATGCCTTAGATAGCAAGTTTCTCTGTGAAAAGGGAAAGTATTGAAACCTGCTTTCCTCTATATATGTATCTCATAGCTGGAATCTCTGGTAAAAGGTGAGAATTCTTAAAGAAGCTTTACACATAGTCATGCATTTATAGCATTTCTCTATTTTCCTCTTTCTCGCTCCATCCCTTTCATGGTGGGGGATTTTCGTTATCAAGCTACAACCCTTCTGCATGCCTTTCTCCTCTACTTGTCTGACAGCTTTCAAGGAGTTTGTAGGGGCTTTTGGTTCTTGAGACCTCAACCTCAAAATTAGAGCAAGCACAAGCACTGTTTTTGTTCTTGCAATAATCTGAAGTACATGTAGGGCAGCTTTCTTTTATCTGTGACATAACATTTCCTAAACTGCTTATTTTACTTCCCCAAAATAATTACAGCTTCCCATCTGGAATTATAGCGCTACATGGCTTTATTACAGCATTCACTTATGAAACGTTCTTCTTTAGCTGAGAGGGGAAAAAATCAAGAAAAAATGTTCGCCTATTTTTAAAATGTCAGGACAAGAGGTCAGATTAAGCAGATTAAGGATTTATAAGGAGCAGTGTCATTTTATTGCCCTGGTTTTGGCAAGTATTCTTTTCTTCCTCAGTCATGCCCTCTGAGTCCTGGCAGGTGCCTGGATGTATGTCACTGCCGCCTCTGTTTTTGAAACTTCGTCAAGGCAGGAGCCAGGTGGTGATTTTAGGAAAGAACTGGGGCCTGAGAGCTCCTGCCTGACAGACGTTTAAGGAAAAGAGCAGATGAGAGCCTTGGGTTGGGAGGCTTTGAGTGTGCTGGGAAGGGATGGAGTCTGGATTTCTGAGATGGAAGGCATGAACAGCTTCTGATGAGAACAAGAATTAAGAGAAGCAGGACCCCAGAGATGAGTAAATGTTGGAGTTATTACAAGGCATCCTCCCCTTAACAACTTCTTTGAGTAAAACAGAGGGAGGAAGGTGCATGAATGCAAGATCAAGCCCCCAGCCCATCAGGAAAACTACAGAAAGCATTATCAGACTGGAATCTTATGCTCTGAATACTATACACAGCATAGTCACAGGCATACTAGGCATAGGTTCTTAGTATACCATTTAAACATAAATATATTAATTCATATTAGAATTTAATTTTGAATCATGTTTGAGATCCTTTCATATTGTTTTTGCCAAATATCAAACTGAGAGTTCCATGCTGTTGCTAATATTGAGCTGTTCCTGCTCATCATGAGAGATCACAGCAGTTCTACATTTTAAAGATAGTGTGTTGACTGAAAGCTCTTAACCTAATAATGCTCTTTTGCTTTTTTAATTGTAGAATCTTAATTATCTAATACATTTACTGGAATTTGGTCTGTCACATGAAGGTACCTTCACTCTTCATCTTAAAATCCTCTCATTGCCTGAGTCATAAGCAATAGCGAAAGCTCAGAAGGGAAAATACCCTTCCTCCTAGCTACATGCAGGCTCTGTTCAGAAAGAGCCAGACTGTAGTCAGCATTATGACCCGGAGTTTAAACAGGCCTGAGAGGCATCTGTAACAAATGTGAGCTTCCTGTGCAGGGTGAGCGGTTCATTGGGTGTTAACATTTCAGCCTCTGAAAAACTCTCCAAGTGTGGGTGAGCACTTTTCCTCTTGGCTGCGCACAGTTAAAAGTTCACGCGCTGTCTGTGGAAGCAGCACCAGTCAGAAACGGAGATTCTCAGTAGAAGGAGGTTATAGGCAACACAGACACTAATCCTCATAGAAGAGAGCAAGCTCTTTGCTCTAAAGCAGGGTCACAGTCTTCAAAAGGGGATGAGTCACTTACTAAGGCTGCAGAGCTCTGAATTGCTTATAACAATTGACTCCATCTAACGCTAAGTGCAACCTCATATATACACCCATATAGTCAACTAACTATAAATAATCTACTTTCGGAAGCTTTTTGAAAATAAAAAATGACCAAAGTTGAAGACTAGAAACAGTCTAGTCTCTGACAGCACAGAGCTGCGTGCTGGCTGATTTTTCTTATTAAAAAGACTGCAATAGCTGATGCGGAGTTTTGTACCATGTGACTATGCTACTTACATTGCCAATCCCTAACTGGTGGAAGATGCTGTCAGATCCTCATTTCACTGTCATTTAACCTGGATACACCTCATCTTAGTTATTGTCAGAATCTGGCCATGTATGTCTGTTTTCTAAAACACATCTTAAACCATTAGAGTAGCATCAGCTGATAAAGAATATGTCCTTGGCAAAACACGTAAATGGTGAGAGGAAGTTAAATAGGCTCAGTCTGATCCCATACAAGATTTTATACTCAAATGCCATGTGATTGTTGTGGGGATTAGTTAGTGCTTGTAAAAAATGTATATCTAAAAAGAAGGCTTCAGTGAGTTACTTGTAACTTATAAAAACAGCCTAGTAGAATTAATTAAGAATTAAGTAAGATTAAGCCTAATAGAATTGTGTTTGGTCAGAACTTGGCTAAAAAATTATGAACTTCATGTGTGCTTCATCTAGGAGTTACTCCTTAGCGTAATCCTCAGGACTGCATTTTACCATTTGGGAAATAGAATCAATTTTATAGTGCCCAGGCTCATAAAGGAAATAGAGCACTAGCTGTAGTAGTATAGTTTTTTGTTTCTGGATTCAGCTTATGTTTTAACACAGGAATTACTAAAGTAGTAAGAATGATATTTTGGGTATGGATACTACAAAGTCACCCATCTCTTGTAAACTTTGTATATCAATTCTTTGTGTAAAACCAAGCAAATCTTATCCTTAAAGTTTGCATCACTTAATATTAACACATGCAATGAAGTTTATTTATCGACAATTTGTGTATCAAAATTCTTTACATATTTTATAGTAAAACATGATCTAGCAAACTCAAGACCAAGAATAAAAGTTTTTGTAGAAATGAAGACTTCATCTGCTATTGCCAAGTATATATGATAAAAAGGCATAAAGGAATAGTATTTAAAACCTTCTTAGCTGTTGTCATATCATTCTGTTCATATATCTTCCTCAGCACTTTTAGCAGAGGCATTAATTTTTGAACAATCAAAGCAAGTTTCCTGCATGGTTTTCGGTAAGATTCAGTTAGTGATGCTTGTTATCATAATAAACATTGCAATTATATTCCATGGGCAATGAGTTGGTAACAGTCGCAATTACTGTTAAAACAGACTTGAACAGTAATCTGGGATTAGAATACAAAAATTCTTCATATTCAGCCATGTGTTTAAAGCTTTTGCTTGCCTTCTGGTATATGAAAAAAGGGTCTTTAATAGGCAGAGTTTCAAATATTGTCATGAAATAAATCCCAATAGTTACACTGAATCCTATATACTTTTGAGAGCATGAAGAAATTGTGCTAAATGTACATGCCTGTAACTGCTGAGGAGACCATCCTGAGTGCTCCCAGATTTAGAAAAAAATGGCAAAGGAGAGAACAGTGTCTAGCAAAAGAGCAGAATATACTGTACCTGTCCACACTAAGGGCACAGAGATTAAGGACTGTGATTCCCACTGATGCCTTCTGTATAAAGGGAAGGAATTTGCATAGGAACTGTCCAAATTCAGAATCCCCAAAAGGCCACTTCTGAGCAAGGAGCTAAAGAAAAGATACAAAATAATCAGAATATTTAAATAATAACTTAGCAAATATATATTGGCTATAATTATTTCCTGTCTTTAGACACAACCATTTTAACCTCGAGTTCTCTGTAACTCAAGTGACTGACCCTGGATAATAACTCTTGCTATAGAAGCATGAAAGGTAAAAATGTGATTTTTTATCTTCTGTTCTTGTAATAGAAACTAGCATTGTTAAAAGATCGGTTTTTTTAGGATGCTTCAGACAGTGGTATTGAAAATCTACTTTGGCCCTGTTATAGCTGGTTGCAATTACCATGTCTCCTCCCAAAACCAACCATTTAAAGCATAACTTGAAGTTCATAGTCAAATTCCCATGTTGCACGCAAGTAGATTCTTGTCATTGTAAATGTACCACTGTGTAACTCATGGCAGTGTTCACTGCCAGATTCTTAAGCATGTGGAGAAAACACTATGAGTACATAATTTGTTCCATCTTATGCTTTAAGGGCTAACATCATACATATGAGCTTTCTCCAAGGCAATGGAAAGGCACCCATTTAGAAATATGCAGCTGAGTGATTGGTGTTTAAATTGGTATTTCCTAGGAGGCGTTAACGTAACCAGTATGAGTACATTCACTCTTGTGAAAAATTAGTAAGTAAACACTAATCTTTCTGTCTGTAACTGTTAATGCTGCAAACAAGTAAATATTCAAAATACATGATACAAAATTATTCAGGATAATTAAATCTACAACTGACTGCAGAGAGTTACAGATAATCTCATACTAAGTGTCTGGGC